AGCAGCTTGGGAGCCAGGATCACTTCTGCTCCACGAGGCTCTTGGTCAGGACCAGAAACATCTGAATGAGATTACGCCGTGCCTTAGAATTCACCCCGCTTTATTGCGGGCTGCCCTCCCCACTCGGACGAGCCCGTCTCAACATCAGGCTGTTGGTGACATCCCTCCAAATTTTCTTTTCCAGGCTGTGAACGTACCAAGCCACTTCAGGGAGGGCTTTCTCCTCCCTTGACGCGTTATCGCCCACATCCCCAAGTTCACGTGCGTGGGTGACAGCGCTGGGAAGAGAGACCACGCAGCAGGCAGAGCCGTGTGTGAAATACTGGCGTGTTTATTGGTTGGCACTAGAGTACAGCCTACACTCTCGTCAAACTTGCATCCACGATTTTTTTTTTTTAATTATTTTTAATTTTTTTTTATCTTCTAAAGACAGCGATGACCCCTCCCTCGCACACAACTCAACCGGAGGAAACACCTTGAACCAGACCGGCAGCCACCGTCCATCCGCGCAGCTTCGCGCCGTCTCGGCGTCTAGCCCAAAACACACCCCGACTGGCTGCAGGGGAGGGACAGGGGGTTGTCGCGATGGCAGGGCTGAGCGTGGAACGGATAGCGAGCCCTCCGGTCTTTCTGGGAACGCTATGGATGAAAGGATCAAAATGACGTAGGTATACGCTACGCCCACCAGCCAAGACTAAGCAGGAGCAAGAGAGCACCTGCGTTATTCGTAGGCTCGCGCTAAGATTTGAGCCTTAGAGAAAAGAAAACGTGTTTTCTACCGAATGCTTTTGACGTTGAGCAAATGTGATGTAAGTAAGACCAAGTCCAAGTCAGTAAGAAAAAGCATCAGCTGAAAATGCTAAGATTTCCAAAGTGCCCTTGCAGCTGTAAAGTGGTTTTGCAAACCATTTCAACTTATCATAAAAAAAAAAACCCATGTTAACTTTACCAGAAGATTAGAAACACAAAGCACTGGAGTGAGGAACAGAAGTCTGCAGCCAGAAAAATAAAGCAGAACAGATTATGGGAATTACAAGTCCCAAACCAGCTAGAATTCGCGGCGCATTGAGTATTTAACCTCATTGAAAACCACTGAAAATCTCAGGCTTCTTTTAATTCTAATAAATTAGCAAGTTTGTTCTCGACACCAGTTTTCCCTCCTCCAAACTCACTGACATTTCCATGTGAACGTAGGGCAGCAGCAGCACCAGAGCCTCCACCGAGACCTCCCAGCCGACACCACCATGAGCAGGAAACCCCAGGAGATCACTCACCACGCTCTGCTGCTGCCATCGTGTCCCACCCCAAGGCCTGGACACTTGAATGACTCAGAGAAGTATCTGCAAGGTTTAAGAACCATTTTGGGTAGGGACCGCTCACGCCGGCGCTGCCAAGCAGGAGAGGTCGGTGCAGGACAGTACCTGGAGAGGTATCGAAGTCTCATCCTTGGTGGCGAAGGCGAGTTGGAACGTACCGGCTCAGACGTGAACAGAAGAGATGGTCAAAGCCCCGCAGCTTTGATCTCGGAGGTATCTCGGTTCGACACGGAATGGAAAAGCCTACGGCAGATATGCTCATACCCACCGGCATCCAGCCCGCGCTGCCGGCAGGGCGATGCCCCCTGGTTCTTCATCCCGCCGCCCGGCACATGCTCGGATGGGGACTGGGATCCTGCTCTCCCAGCTCGGGGGGTGCTGCCAGGGAGTCTCAGGTAGAGAGAGTTCAATGAGAAGACTGAGCAGAAAATGCAAAGTGATCGTTCCAGATCTTCTGATTTAATAAATAGAAAATAGGACATACAGGAAGTTCAGCAAACACTCTTGGACCTCCCAAGATTAGTTTGAGGCAATTCTAGAGCCAATGTCTCAAGTATAACATCAAAATTCTCACTTTCCCACAAAAAAAAAAAAAAAAAAAAAGAAAAAAACCCCTATCAACTAGCACCAAAAAAGAGATTTTATAAATCTCCTAAATACATCTTCAGTCCAGTTCAGTTCTTTCTCACTCACCTACACCTCTCTCTCAATTATGTACAGACCTCACGCCACTACACCCAGTAAAATGCTACACCTATCTACACACCACCTTCCACCACCGAAGCCCAGTCCTCTCGAACTGTATTAAATTCATTCTAACACTGAGAAAAGTGAGGAACTTTTATATATATATATATATATATATCTATCTGTATATATGTACGTTACAGTCTCTGACACTGAGACGCGACGAGAGCACACCAGAAGCGAGGTCACCCGCACCCCCAGGCTGCGATGCCACCACTAGATGATGCTGTCTTATTAAGGAGGAAGAACAGAGCCAGGAGGGAAAACCCGAGTCATTTAAAAGCAGGACCAGAGCAGTCCAACACCCTTGAGTATCTTTGTAAGAGCTCTTCAGGCCAACAAGCATCTGCAACAGCTTCATTCCTCGGTGCAAGTTTGGCTAAAGAGACCGACAGATTTTGATCCTCTCCTGAGAATCGTCACCAGCCGCAGCTTCTACTCCGGGCAAGTTAAATATTCAAACCTCTCTTTCACGAAACTCCCAGATCGCCCACATTTCCTTTCACTGGATGCTTTGCACAGGCACAAACGTTGCATCCGGCTGTCTGAGAAGCACAAATGCATCCATTTGGGATAAACCGGTGTTTCTGAGAACGAGCAAGAAAATCTGAAGTTGTTGTAACTGGGAGAAGCAACCATTCGATCTGCACAGCTTCAAATACTGTGTTCTTCTGGAGCAACCACCTCATTGCAAAATGGTGAGTGCGTTTTCTGCATGGAAAAGCTGAGGCAGAGGCCCGAAGTCTGGGCTAGATCTGGGAAGGGAACGGAGGATTCCTGACATTCCCTACCCACATTTTTAGCCACTGAATACTTTGTGTCTGCACAAGGGAAAAAGCAACACTGGCCGATTGCAATCCCTTTCCATTTCTCAGTTTACAGAGTTTGCTTTAAGGCACATTCAAGATCACACTGGATTTAACTGCTTCTTGCTCAACAGAAATCTGGGACGTGCACGCTACGTCCATCTGCCACATAAAAAAGCCGATGTGAATGCTTAAATTGCAGCTCCTTTCCAGCCCCCAAACCAGAGCTCTCACCTTCCTCCCCAGCAGCGAGGCCGAAGGCCGTCAGCAGAGGAGAAGCAGGTTGGGTGGATGGGGGAGCCCTGAAGCACAACCCTAACCCTAACCCAGGTAAGGCTCTGCTCCTTCCCCGCCAGCACCACTCAGCTTTTTTATTTGGCAGCACAGCGTTAAGAGAACGCACCCGCCTTGCTAAGCTGGAACCAAATCAACCTGAGAAGGAACCACATCCCCAGAATGGAAGAAAAAGGAAACCAGTCCCACGGGATGGATTTTCAAAAGATGTGGAGAGGGACAGCACCCGCGTTCACCTGCCTGAGCCACCTTCCTATGGCAAAGCAAGGCAGGCGACGTTATCCGAGGGGAGCCCCGGCTGGGCTCCCTTTACCTGGGAATCTCATCGTTTCTTACAGCGCAACGTACGCAGACCTCGTGAAATCACAGCGGGTTTACTATCGAGAACCAACCGCCCCTCCTGGGTATTTCTTGCACCTCACCGTACTGAACAGGAGCAAGGGATGGGGGGAAGAAGTAGCAAGCTTTTAACAAGCCAGATACACTCTCCCCATCTGATCCACACAGCAGCTTAAAAAAGCCAACTCATTATGAAGTCCCCCTCCACCAAAGCCCGTATTTGTATCCCTTCTATTGGGTTTTAATTACAGTTACTGGCTAACGGAGCTTATCAGCAATACCAGCCTACAACTTCAGCTCTCTTCAACAGCATTAAACACAAAGAACTGAGCTGACCATCGGCACCTTCTGAATTATCTTTTTCAGGTGATGCAGCTCCAACACCCTCTCTTCGATAGATTCATCTCAAGATATTTCAGCTGTAAAACCGCTCAGAGGCTGCACACCTTGTTCTGAGAGTTCAAAATCATGAGCAAGTAATATTTACCCTATCCAGTACTGGGGGCACAGCAGCCGGTGGGAAAGACTGCCGTCACCTCCTGCACCCTCTCAGCCATCACTGCCTCAGTCTCAAAGTTTTGACAACTGAAAGCCTAAGGCACTTTCAATTTGGGGAAAAAAAAATTTTAAAATTCTCATTTTTAGTTTGCAAAGTAACCGTTAACTCAAAGGCATGTTTTGCCCAATGATATACCTGCAGAGGCAAACACCGAACGCTCATAATTCTAGGAAGTCTCTGCAGTTCTGCAAGGGCTCTTGAGCTCTGCCAGCGCAGCTCCAGCCAGCCCTAAGAGCACAAAACTCAGCCGGGGATGGTAAGAAGTAGAAACACTGTGCAAAGCTAAAGGAGGGACAAGCCTCCCCGGGCTTGGTAACAATACCGAGTGTCTCTATCACCAATCAACTATTGTCTAGAATTAAACAATCCAGCTTTGTGAAGCAACCAAGAGATCTTTGTGAAGTGACCAGAAGTACTTTTAACAGCACTGAATGCCAGATTTCAGGGAGAATGGAAAAAACCCAAGCCCTCTCCTTTCACTCTTCCCTAGGCATCTCCCAGGAAAAGGCGTCACCTCCCGGGCCTGGCAGGGTCACATCACGTCCCAGCACCAGTACCAGCGTGCCCAGCCGTGTGGCACACCTATTAAATACCGTGGGAAAGCCTCACCAAGAAGAAAATGGTGTTGCTTTTAACCAAAAAAAAAAGGCGGCTCTTCCTTTTGAGACATGCCTTTGAAAAGCCTCAGCAGGAGCAAAGTCAAATTTGAAAGCTAAAAGCCACCTTACAGTAACCACTTCAAGACAAAGGTGCCGTACGTTTTCTACCGCACATGATTTCGAAGACAACGTTAACCAACGCATCGAAATCCCTGTTCCACCATACCAAACCTTATTTGAGAGAGACCTCCTAGAGCTCGATACGTACGATTTCAGCTCCACTAAGTTTAATTACGCTTGGCACTCTCCTGCAGAGGGATGTCCACCTGCCTCTTCAAAGCCTCAGCCGCGGGGGACATTGGTTCCCTGGGGGGGGGGGGTGTCTTTCTCCCGCTCCCATGCTGGAGTCAACAAACGCCAGCACACTTGCCACCCAGCGTTGGCTTAAACCACCAGCTAACATTTTCCTGCCACAGCAGTAATCCAACCCAGCCTGTCAAAACACTTCCAGTGACAGAGATCCAGGTTTTTGTAAGTATTTTGAGGTTTAAAAGATAATCATGCCAAGCGGTGGCGTCTCAGCGCTGAATGCACTTCCCTTCTACCATTAAGGTCTCAAATACGTTTAAAAATCCAGACGGCAGGATGCAACTGCGCTATACGGGGATTTCTAATTTTGACAATACCAGAGGAAGCGAATCGATGCTGAAGAGCGGGAACTGCTTGGAGAACCTCCCCAGGCTGGGCAGCGGGTCCTCCTCTTCCTCTTACTTCATCACTCATCTTGCAACCCTGCGGTGGCACTTAGGTGCATAGAGAAATCCAGTACTCCGGTGTTTCAAGGGCCAATAATTTTCCCCCTCTTCCTCGGTGCAGGCGGACTTGCTTCTTGATGTCTCACAAGCGAGGTGTCCTTGTACGTACCATGAATACACGCATGAAAAGCAGCATGGGAAGAAGCAATCTTATTAAAGAAATTACCCCTAAGAAGTTGCAGAAGACACGGGAAGTTTTTCATGAGACCCCAGGGTCCAGGGGTGTGCCGGAAGGGCTTTAGCCCCTCTCTGCATCATCAACACGCCTGGCATTTATCCCAGACCGGCTTTCAGAGAACCAAGACAGGCATCCGAAACCGGCGACTCGAGGGCGACTTGACAAATGTGCTGCAAACTTGCAGGATGCCTACACGAAGCATTGGCATTCCTCTGCTTTACCTACAAATACACCAGTGCCGAGCAAGATCAAAGCCACGTCAAAAGCCAAGCTAAGAACGTTATTCTTCAAGGGGAAGCTGAGACACATTGTAATGCTCAATTTAAGGGGTCAGGCTAGACACTACGTCGTTTGAGGTAAGAATCCCACTATCTCCAACACTAGCTCAATATAGCACCAGTTTTAGCAATGCTGGAGGTCTGAGTCTAATCCTACGGGGTTTTTCAGCAGTTGGTCGTGACAGCAGCCCTAAGCGGTTTCATCAAGCAGGCACTGGGCTGTACTGCGAAACCTGGAGAGCGCGCGCCGTCTTTAGAACAACTCTTGTCACTAATAAAGGTAGTTTGATTGTCGGTCCCGAACCAATTTAATATAATTTTGGATAAAATCGCTTTAACTGCTAGGGCACGCAGCTGTACCAGTTACTAGAGAGGAACCTCAGATGCTGAGGAAGACGGGAATTCGTGTGGTGCAGGGAGAGATTCAGGTAGCACAGAGCTAAGGCCTGTTTTGAAATCCGCATCTGTTGAATAAAGGCTATTTCTACCCCAGGAGCTATTTCCAGTTAAGTAAGGCATAATATCAGCCGCTCGATGTTACTGTGTTAACAGCATCAATTCATGCCACATTAAAACACTTTCTTGGCACAATTTATTTTTTCTGACCCAAACAAATAAGCCATTAGCAAGTCATTAACAATATTCTACCCTAAGTTGTCAGTTTAACAGCCCTGTAAAAACATTTTTAGTTTAAAAACAAAAAAGTGTGCATGCTGTTGATATTAAAACTGCAGTTACTCTTTCAGGAGTACCAGCGGTTTTGCTGCAAAGCGTTCTCAACGTACTAATTTGTACAGTAAAGACAAAAACTCAGTTGAAGGCAGTAGATGGCTGTGTTAGGTGCCACTCACGGCTCGGGAACAGCGGACTGTCTCTATTTCTTGTACACTTCCAGATACAACATTCAAGCCCTTTTGAGAGTTTGGTTCAGGCCGATCAGCGCAGAGTAAGAAAGGATTGTACATTCGTCTCTAAGTTGAAGTGAACTGAACTGGTGTAATTTAGGCTGAATTCCAGATGCTCGGTTTCAAGCTACTTCTTGAATAATGCCTCTCAGCTTTTTCTTATGCCTGTTTTTTCATGTTAGCGATCACTGGCACTGCTTTTGGCCTTGCTACTCCACACTGATGAAAGCAAGGAGAACAAGTAAAGGAACAGAATAGGATCTTAAAATGAACAGCTTCTTGCCAAACCAGCAAGGATACCATTCCCCCTTGTACCAGGCTCCATGGATATTTCTATCAGATTTTCATATTGTAAGCGCTTCTTGGGAAGAGAGAAAACTCTGGAACAGTGAGTATTTATTAGAATATTTTTTGTTAAATAAAGAGGAGGAAAAAAAAAAAGAAGAAAAAAAAAAAAAAAGAGTACTGCAGATTTAATTTCACATCTTGGCTATGCTCTGACAAAGGAGAAGTTACTGAACTCAGCAACTACTTCTTGTCTCAAGCCAGGGATTAATTAATGCCCCTCCCAAAACTTGTACCGGTCCCAACCCACCCCCAGCCCCCAACCCTTCCCATTTTATTTCCCAACTAGACAACACTGTTGGCAAATCAAGACAGCATGAAACTTACATCAATAAAAACAACAAGAAAAAAAAAATAAATCATGTGAAGTGTGCCAATGCATCAGGGGTCTATCCTATTCAACGGTGTACGTCTCCAACTAGCAATTCTGCTCGGGAGTCAGCTGTACCTTTTGCGGAGGGAGAGTTTAAACGTTTTTGAGCATGCTCCATGGTGCAATTGTAAGTGCCGCAGAACCACAGGACAAGAGATTGAACACCTGAGTTTTTCCCCCAGGACTTCTTTTCAGGGACACACATGGTTATCCAACTGAAGGTTCGTGCAGTAACACTCAGTAAATACAATCCGATGCTTTAGCACAAATTACAAGTATCCAGTTCAGCACGGTATAAGGCATGTGGACAAGAAGAGACATCAGCAGAACGCAGCAGGATCAGCAGAACAGCATTGGTGATTGACGCTCCAGTTTGTCAGACTTTGACCCCACTTCGAATCCCTGATTCCTACCACAGACAATGAAATTCAGTTTCTATCGTAGCGTTTCTGAGGCTATTTATTTTTGGCCAAGTGTTAAAAGACCAACTCCTTTTTGCTTCATTTCGATGTAAATGCAGAAACATTGGCGGAAGCTGTAGGAGAAGCAACGGAGCAGCAGGGATGTCTGCAGGTGATCGAAACTCTGCCCTCAACTTAAGTGTCACTGCACTAAATCGGGAGATACTGAACGGGGAGTAAACTGGCCCAGCCACTAGCACTGTCACAGAACGTGTATTTTGTTTTAAAAAAACAGAACAAAAGGCAAACAGATTAATTATGAACCCTCCTTTTCAGAAGCAGACCAGGATTAAAAAATATTCCTGCAAAATTAAAATGTTAGATTCTCCATCTAAAAAAAGTTTATACATACGCGCTGAAAGTGACCACCACACAGGTCTGAACAGCACCTTACAGTACAGACTAAGACTTAAAGAGCTGATCTCACATTTGAAGTCTTTTAATTAAAAAAAAAAAAAAAAAGTGGCTGGGGCTGGGATGACACAAACGGGACACTTCAGAACACAAGGCAGAGGCGAAACTGGCAGCCTCGCTCGCCAGGCCATGGAAGCGGTGTAACGGGAAAGGGGCACTTCATGCACAAAATGTATTTTACAAAATACATATCCAAAAAAAGCCAAAAAAAAAAAAAAAGCCAACAAAAAAAAAATCCCACCTTGCACTAATTGCAGCACTCTTAACACTTGCTCTGCCACAGGCTGCTGCCCATGCCTTGTTTGATAGAGGAGGCATGTGAAAAAGGGGGGGGGGAAATCCATGTTTCAGTCTATGTTTCAAAATTTCTCTCATAGGGACGTCTTCAGTCATCTGATGTCAGACATGGAGCTCTCGGAGTACGTCGTGGTCATGACAGGAGTGCCGTTGTTTGCCAAACAACCTTGCCTCAAGGTTTCAAAATATGAGGCCTGCACTGGTTTATGATACTGCAGAACTTTTATGGCATCTTCTATCTTAAACCATTCCCTTTTCCGTCCTGTGGGCAGAAAGGAAAATCAGGAGTTGTTTTTGTTAAACGACGTTATCCTTTCTGTGCTTAAACTTTGCTGTTGATTAGCTTTTGATCCTTATCACATGCACTAACGCTGCAAAGATCATTTCACTGGGTAGCAAAGCATCAGTTCAAAAGACACTGGGAAATTTTCTCTCAGTAGTCTCTGATCTTGAGGGCCACCTACTCCAAACACCACATGGAGGGCTCCTCCATCCACTTGACTAGTATCTGCTTAGGGCAGTACACCCACTAACCAATCAAACCAGTCTTGCATTTCCTAAACTAAAACCACACATTTATTTTGCTATTTCTGCCTTTTCCAGTCAAGCCAAATACTCATTTGAAGACAATCCACGAAGACGCGCACCAACCACCACCCAATTCCCATCAATTTGGAAGTGAACCTCGGCACTCACATCTTACTCTTTCCATGAAACCTCTTCCGTACACAGCCTGAGGAAAGTCAGGTTTATGGTTGGACGTGATCATCTTAAAGGTCTTTTCCAACCTAGGTGATTCTATAAGTTACAGGTGCTACAGTGCTATTGACAAACCTTGTGCAGAGCAACAGGGTTCATTTTCTTTGGGAATCCAATTTAAAAGCAAAGATTTCAAAAGAGGATGGGTAATGATTAATCCACTGTGCCCACATATATTTTCTTCTTGTCTTAGAAAGGAGAGTTCTTCATGCTCTTTGCATAGTATCTTGAAGTGCAAGAATTAAATACAAAACTGCTGTAGAGGTGGCTGTACAGCTGCATTAACTTCTCTTGGGCCACAGAGGTTACAAAAGCATCAATTTGACCACAATTTCTTTTTCCCAAGCAACCAAAGGACACACCATTGCAACTTTTCTCAACCACTCTCACAAGGATTCCAGCTCCCAGAGGGATGCTAAGCGGATGTGTTTTGTCTGCATCAAACCAGTTAATGCTAGCAAGCACAAATAGCTTACCAATATTGACAGAGTCCTCCCAGTCTTCCAACACTTCTGTGACGATAAGTACGTAAACATATGTCCTGTGTTTCCTGTCCCGATTCTAGGAGGCAAAGGGAACAGAGTAACGACAAAGCTACCGAAGGAGAAAAGGCGGGTGGGCACACGGGGACTACTCGTTGCGTGCTGCCTCACTGCGATGCTGTGGTACCTTCTGTGCCATCTCCCTCACATTACAGCTCGTTCTTCGCTATTAAAAATTGTTGCGTTTTAAATGAGAGGTCTGAAAGTATTAATAGGGATTGCAGCCAAAAAGTCTAGCCCCTAACCTCTAAGGCGGCATTTGGTGGATGGATATGCTTATAAATCAGTTCCTCAGCTGGGGCAAAAAACCAACCACCACACAGGAAAGATTTTTATCTATTTCACACAACTCTGAAATAGTGAGAAAACAACTGTAAAAAGAGCTGTTGGTACCTGTTGACTATGCATCTTGCTAGTACTCATCCGGCATTTCCGCACTCCTCATCGGAGCGCACAGGCTTCACTGCCTTGCAGAGGCCAGCGTGGCACCGGGTGGTGGCAAAGGAGGGCCACTGCTCCCCAGCTGGTGGGTGACATTTTTTGGCAGCAAAAAAGGTAGGAAAGCACTGAGAATACCCTGTTACACTGGCTTATCCCTCATGATTTCAGCAATTACAGATGACCAATATCACTGAAAGCATCAGCATGCATTTCTATTTAAACAGGGAGTTCTAATCTTCCTTCAGACAAGTTATCTAGTTTACTTCACGACAAACTAGGAAGTGGTTTTTACTCCGAGACAATTTTTTGCATCAAAGTTTCACAGACTCAGTGTCTGAAACTTACCTCAAAAATTCCCACTAATCTTCCTAACGTCCCTTTCACTCCAGCCTAAGAAAAGTTCAAAGAGAAAAAAAAAAGAAAAACACGATTTAACAACAGGTCAGTACATTCCTTGTTTGTCGTGCAGGAGCAGTTCCTTTGGAACAGGAAGCAAATGCTGTAAAATTCTGAAAACAACAGGGTCACAAGACAAACGTATCGCGAGCTCTTAACTGTGCATGCATTCCGAGGAATTTTTTCTTCTTTTTCTATATTCAAACCATTTAGGAGTCAATCTGGAGGAAAAAAAAAAAAACAACAAAACAAACTATTTGATGAGTTACTGATTGCATACCAATACATCCTGAACTACCAGAATCTCCTCTAAAGGTGATTATTATTGTAATAGTCTAAGCACAGATAAAATTTGCTTTGGGATTTAGCAGTTTTACCTCTTTAAAAATATAGATTAAGAAAACGACTTGTAAACTATGTGTAAAACATCTGCTTACACCATCAAAGCAACACGACAGCTACCAGGTATGTCAGGGATGCTCTGCATACATTTGAAGCAAGCGAATATAAACATAAAATACTTGCAATGTTGTCGTGAGGCCTCCACCACAGGAACGAGACTATTTTTGATACAAGACAAAATGCAGATGTGCATTGGAAGAAAACTATTCACTCAGGCACAGACACAAACCAAGAGAAGATCTAAGCAACAGTTTTGTCTTCTGTTGGAATGCTACTGAGGATCTACCCACTTTATCTCATTTGCTGGCGCTTTTTATGCATCCGCTCACCGCTGTGGCTCAGTCACTTTCTCAAAGCGCTGTTTCTCGTCTCTGCTCTCCAGGGCATCACACATGGATGCAAAATGCCATCCCACCCTCCTGCCCCCCAGCCCCACTCCATTTTTCCAAGAATTCACATTCCCTTCTTTTTACGACTGTAAATGGTTGGAACTCAAGCGCTGCAGACAAGATGAGATTTTGGTCGATGACTTAATTGGTCCAAACCACCCCACACAGTCTGGCATACAACCCAGCCACGTTTGGAAGGTAAATTCGGCTGCTGGCTCTGACAGCTGGAACATACCCTAAACAGCTCAGGAGAATAATGCCTCTGCTCCTGCAGACAAGATATATAGATCTGATTATGTCAGGCTTTTTTTTTTTTTTTTTTTAAAAAAAAAAAAAAAAAAGTTTGGGTGAGGGTAACTAAATATTCAACGATAAGACAAGTTCTCTGTCCTGCGCGGCTGAGTTACACCGTTGCTTGCCCGTTCAGCTTCTACCAGTTGCTGTACAGTCATGAGCTTTTAGAAAGGAAGAACTTTTATTAATTAAAAGGTTTTACAGGTTAAGTTCCCAAGCCTGCCAAACGAACACACCCAGATACCAAACCACACAGTCAGAGCACACCTCGCTATTGCTTCTAACAGCAGCTGATGGCAGAACCGCCCCAAAAGAAAAGGATTTGTAGCTCCCCCTACTACAAGCGTTCAGAGAAATCTGTAATTCTTTCTGTAATGTGCTCCCTGACCTCTGCTTCTAGGAAGGAGCTTTTCAGCTGAAGCTTTTATGTTGGTTTTGGATGCAAAATTAATTGTCTCATCAGTATTTCTGACATTCTGCTCAGCCCATAGGTGGACCACTGACTATTAACCACAAGGCTATTTCTGGAGTCAAATAGCAATTCCATGAAGGTCAACGTACGCGTGTGTGCGCACACCAGCAAGGCTAGGACAGATAACTGGCTTTGACCTTTGTGGATGAGTGATTTTACCTCATCTGCAAAACCGTTCCTGCTAACCTGGACTAATGTGTCTCAGAAGTTAACTGGACGGCAAATACTTCAAATGAATTTCATTCAAAGATCTTCAGCAGCCACCAACGGTGGTTTTTTTTTTTTTTAGCTAAGCAAGAGTCTCAATCAGCCAGCAATAACACACAAAGCAACGTTCACCTTCACAACATACATACAAAAACGAGTATCTTAAAAGGCAAAGTGTAATCAAATGTTTCAGGCAAATGTCTTAAGGCAGTTTTCGCTTGTTCCTGGAGAAGGCTATGGAATTTCTGCTCTCACTTACCTGCAGAGGCGCTGAATCAAGAGCCAGGGACGATGTTGCGATGGTTTAGTGAACTCTCAAGCCTGACTAGAAACAAATTTATTTCCAGGCAACTAGCCAGCCTGGAAACTAAGCATGAATACTGCTCAACCAGCCTCCCAAGCAGTTTATCCCCAGCTCTAAAACTGTGCTTGAAGTGCTACAGGCAGGTGAGGAGCCCTTCCTTCTGTTCTGCTTAAACAGAGAGGCGACGGAAATTACACCACCAGCAAACTAAGATCATCCTTCTCCATTCTGCCTAGTCTTATTCACCATAAAAAAGTGATGCCAAGACATACACGTGCTGTAGGAAAATCATGTTGAATTATCATTAGACGACTCAAAAGAGTGCTGAGGTTTTCTTCACGTATGAATTTACCACACGTAGTAGTAAACGGTGACATAAATGAATGGTTTTGAATCAAACAAGTATTAGGCTGATTTTATATGGAGTCCTTACCAAAGACTGCAAAGCACATCAGCCATTACAGCCTGGAGACCAATGGCTCCCTCATCCTATTTTACTGGTACAGTGGACTTTAAAGGCAACATATAGGACATCTAACACAGACCGACCGGATTGTTATAGACCTATTTCTGATGAAGCATTTAATTCACACACAAACAGGAAAGTCATAGTCTCTGTACAATCATGTACTTCGTTTAATGGAACAAACAAATGTAGAAGTGGAATTCAGAGTCTCACACAAGTTTCTAACATAGAAGTTGCCCAAGACATCCAAGAAAATACTCTATAGACGTTATCACTAATCAAGCAAGAGAGATAACGAGCAACAAAACTGCCAGGCTCCTCCTTGGGCCAGCTCCACACCTCTTGCTTTCCTGGGGGCCAAGCCCCCAGCCCTTTCCCTGACTCATCTTCACTGCAGGACGAGCATTTTCTTGGAAAGCTAAAAGCATAGTCACAGGCTCATCCAGGATTGAAGCTGGATCTAAATCTTAATTTGCACCAGATGACTCAGGAATTTTCTCCATGGGTTGAGAATCCTCCGCCCTCACGGGCCACAACAGTAAGTGTCTGGCAGAGACAGCACAATTTATTTGGGCACGTGTTCCCCCACCAAGCATTAGAAGTCCTCAGAATGCACGCACGTCCTAGGAGGACACTATTAAACCTATCAACAAGGAGTAGGAGGGCACCAGCACCAACTGTTCCATCTGCAGGTGTGAAAATAAAGCAAATCGATTGAACAACAGTATTCCCCAGGAAGAGGCACACTCGGCTATAGCAGAGGACAGGCAGAGCTTGCAAAATGAGCTGCTCTTTCATTGCTCTGCAGATCCAAATCAGTTCCTAATGTCTGAGGGAGTCCTCACTGGAGGAGAAGATAGATGCAGCAAGAGTGCATCAGTGTCACAGCAACAGCCAGCTGCCCCAAAACAGCACAGGACTTCAAACCGCTGCCGCACACAGGAGGGGTGGGCTAGGCGTTTGGGACAGGGAATGAAAATCTGGAGGAAATGAAGCTTTACTAGTTCTGTTGCTCGTGGAACAACTTGTTTTAATAAAGAAAAATTACTGAAGACATCCAAGAACAGCAGGTTCAGGTTTCAAAGCTGAAAATAAGTTCGGGTCAGATGCAAAAAGCAGCCTGCAGCAACGCCATCTGTTCCTAGGGACAGCTTTTATTTCCTTCCATCTGAGCTAAGGAAAATGTGGGTTGGAATTTCAGCTATTTCACTTTGCTCTATTAGGCTCAAAGCCTGCATCTACTACACATTACTGCTGGGCAAGAGGACTGTGGTAAAACACCCAAATCTTTGCTCTAATACTTGCAGCACCGAAGGTAGTAAGTCCCACCCATGAAGACTGCTAGCTTAGACAAGTTCTAAAAACACCAATTACAATTTTGGTAGGCAAATAGGCAAATTTTCTTGCTGTCTCTACTGTGTCTCAGGGAGGGTTACACTTACTCATCTAATTCTTTACTGTGTTACAACCAATATATGCTTTTACATTCATGAACTAGAAATGAAATACCATGGCAGAGTGAAGAACTTTAAGACATTGCACTCATTTTTAAGAAGTTTGAGTACAGAGGGTAACAGAGGTAGTGAACCTGGCCCGCTATTTGCGCTGAATAGTACTAAATCTAGGAAGAGTTCAGTGCCATCATCTCAGTCATTCATCCATGGTCCTTGCAATATTAAAAAAAAAAAAAAAAAAAAAAAAAAAAAGTCTTCCTATTTTAGTGCTGAAGATCACAGAATCACAGAATCTTTTGGGTTGGAAAAGACCTTTAAGATCAAGTCCAACTGTTACCCTAACCCTGCCATCCCACCACTAAACCCTGTCCCTAAGCAGTAAGATATCAACATTCATATTCTAAATCACGAACAAATACATGAAACAGAACGGATTATTTATAAAACATGCTTAAGAGGGGAAAAGAAAAAAAAAAAAAAAAAAAAAGAGGTCTAGCAAGCAGATCAAAGTACCACCACGATGGACTATTTTTGATATTGGCATCCATTGCTGTTTGATCACAGATCAAGCACAACTTCTCTGGCTTTTGATTCCCATGAAGAAAGCACAACTAACGCTCCCGTAATTTTATAGAACTTGACATTTACTAAGTATTTAAAGGTCAGGACGTGAAAGATGCTGTAAGTGCAAAATGAAATGCTTTTGGGTTTAACAGATGAGCGTGGAGGCTTTTTTCAAAGTCACTCTATAAGAAGTTTAATTTAAGGCATCTATTTCTAAAACATGTTCTTCACCAGTTGCTCACACCCATAAAAAAAACTTATTCCTAACATAAAATTAATTTGGGGGAGAGAACGCAACAGTAAAAAAAATCCAAGAATGAAGAAGGAAAAAAATAAAAGGGCACATCATTTTTCCAGAAGGTGAACCTTAGAACGTACCTGGAGTTTACAGCTGTGTAAGATGGACTACATCATTTTTCAACAATCTAACAAAAATAAGTGGTTTTATTCTGAAAAGGCTGCTCTCATTCAGAGCTAACGTGCTCGTCTAGTGCCACTTTGCCTAAGAACAACGCCCAAGAACTCAAGTCACTTCAAATTTTATGCAGACAACAGCAAGCATGACAAGTGTTGGTACCTGTCTACTTTAATACTTCCGCTGGTACAGATTAATATAGATAAGGACTATCTCAAACTAGGACAAGGACTTCCAACTCAAACTGGGACAGAGGGATCACAGGTTCCACTCAGAGTCAACACTGCATTTTGGAACAGCCTTCTAAAATTTTGAAAAATCAGAAAGAGGGAAAAGTCAGATTTCTTTATATGACAATTATTGCAGCAGTAACATGGGTAAATTCAAACACATATGTGGTAAAATAAAAACAGGGAACGCAGAAATTAAAACATCTTAGTTTAGGGAAGCATATTTTGAAAAGAAAATGCATACCATGCAAAAAAGAATGAATTGAGAAAATCCAGCCCATTGTCATCTTCAAAGCCCACAAGCAACCGAAAGGGCAATGAGTCCTTCCAGCCCTTCCAACTGTCTCTTATTAAAACGGAAAAAGCATACCAGAGTCAGCGAAAGAAAGTCCACAAATTTCTTCCATAACTTTGACCAGCACACGCAAGCCACCTTCTTTTAAGATAAAAACTACTTTGTGTTCATTGACAGGGAGGAAAACAGCTTTTCCCTTTCCCAAGGCGAGCAGCAGACTCTACCTGCTCAGCTAACCTCATTTCCTTGCGAGTGTCTCAGGAGAGGAGCAAAGCCATCAAACCTACTCACAAATCGGCCTCAGCTACAACCTGCCTGAAAAAGCCTAGATTCACGTGAAAGGATGAGCAAGGATTCCCAGCCGGCACGCCACACCAGTTGCCCAGCAGTCTCCTAAAAAACAAGCTGGGAAACTGGGTGCCCAAGCCCTTGACAGCATTACAGCTGTAATATAACAAACATTCCCCTCCCTCATGCACATTCCCCGGCAACAATTTAAACAGCTCGCTGAGCTTGAGACAGTTGATGTACTTTATCATTTTGTGTGCAGATCATAAGCAGCGTGCTGGAACACAAACCTATTTGAAGGCAGCCTTGCACACCTAACAGCCCGCCTGCGTTCCCCACCCGTGTCAGCTAGCCTCATCATTAGCCGCAGAAGCACTCAAGTAATTTTATGGACATGCCCGGCTGCTCTTCTGCAGACGGCTTTCAGGAAAGCCTTTCTCGTAACAGCAGCCGATAGCTGCATTTTGGATTCCCACCCCGCATTCTCATCACATGCTACTAGGTGTCATGGAGGTTAGCCGTTGGGGTAACCCTGCTGCTCCTGGAGCTCTTGATGTTTACTGTTTGTCGAGCAGCATTCAAGCAGGTAGGTGCTTCGCTGGGAATGACTCAACCCTGCCAGGCTGCCACAGTTTGAATTACATTCTCATTCGGCACCGGTCCACGTGAGCGAGGGAACACCAGCTGAGCGAGAGGGGATTATCTCAGCCAGCCCAAACCAGTTTCTTCCCTGCAGACTGAGCCCATGCCAAGGTTTCCTTTCAGCCACCGAGCTGTCATGGAAAGAGAGCAACTCTTCCAAGGCGCTGCGCTGCCCGAGGAAGGGAGGGTCGATACAGATTTATTTTAAGGATTTGAAAGGCGAAGCCGTGCATCTCCTGAATGAACCCTTGACTTCTGTATCAAATAACTTAATTATTAATAACGATTGGGTTGTAAAGCAGGAACCTGCAGCTAAAAATGTTTCTGTTGTTCTGGTTAAACTCACTTTGGCTTGTAATGTGTTTGAAAGATTGCCGAGTTACTAAAAAAGCAGGAGCTGTATTACAAGCTGGAAACAAAATTTGCAAGCAGCAATCCCCAGTACTAGAGGGACCTAATGACATTTAAAAAAATAAATTTTCACTGTATAATCTTTCATATCTTTCTGATAAACTGACAGATTATAAAAACATCCAAAGAGAAGCACACGACTCAAGAACTGCCACATTACATTAGTCCAGAGGCTCAAATATTCAGCATTTTGTTAGACAGCAGCAGGTATTTCCAAATACTTCAGAGAAAACACCTTCATATACCAGACATTTAAATAAAGCAACTACTGGAGAAGCTTCCCCCAAGTTCCATCAATTAGCTCGTGATTTCTGTTGTGCAGCACAAAGATTTATAACCCCCTTGAAAGCATTTTTAATCCTGCCTTATATAACTGTGAACCTACTTGGTCATCCATATATAATCATTTAATCGTTTCTGAATCCAAGCATCTCTCCAATTTGATGATATTCAGAAGCAAATTCTGAAGACGTTTTACATACAATGTAGTCGACCGCCATTTGCTGCCTTTAAATTCCTTATGAAGGATAAAATTGTTCTTCCGTCTTTGAGAGAAAAATGCGCCTTCTCCATATAGATCATCAATCTGTGTTTGATCTGCTCTTTTGATCTTTCTGAAATGGCTTCAAGTGAAAAAAAAAAAAAAACCAAAACCAAACAACAAACCCACAAACAAAACCAGGAACACATTAGGAATTGTTGCTTGGAACTCTTATCATCAATTCCTCTTATTCACATAAAACTCAAAAATATGTATTAGACCAAAACATTGAGGTCCCTATATTTGGAATGTCTTTAGTAGCTCGTAAGCTCTTATTTCTACCTTCTACCCAAGTATTAGATAGCTCCACAAAAGCAGAGCTGTTTTTTTAAGTTCTCTTAAGAAACTGTTTTCATACAGAGAAAACAAAACAGAGAATATTGTACGTACTGAAGTGACTATAGCTTAATTTTATCTATTTTCGGTTAGAGGCATCAGGCGAGGAAAAGTTCATTCTGACTGAGTGCCTTAATCACATTCCTGTGCTATCTTTATTTAGGACTCCAGTTTCCCTCCCACGTACGATGTGGGTATCACCAGTGACCCTATATTCCTCTTCACCTTAAGGAAAACAAGCAAGAGTGATAAGAACAAATTCCCAGAGCCTTGGCTAAGAATCGGCAGCGGAGCTCCAGGAGCTCCCGTTCTTGTCAAACACTCACCTCTTCACAGACTTCTCGCACAGCGGCCACGTTGGGCTCCTCCTCGGGCTCCATGCCACCCCCAGGGACAATCCATCGATCAGGATGACGACTACTGCTAACCAGCAGCACCTGCAGAGAGTAGAGCGCAGCTGATGTACAAACTCAAGGCAACGGTCCTTTTCAAAGCCCAGCCAAAGAGAAGTTGTCTTTGCACCTCTCACACCTCCAAACACGACCAATCCAACACAACTCCTTGAAAATACTCCACTTTTTCCAAGACAATTTCCTTGGCCCCTTTCAGACAGCTGTGCAAACCACCTCGTCAGCAACACCAAGGCACTCCAACGCTCCAAATTATTTCAGCCATTACCTTCTCACTGCTCCAACGTGACGCAGAATAAACTATGCCTCTGCATACCAAACCAACGATTTGCTATTTGATACAGCACCACAATACTTACACTGTAAGAGCTCACTGCCATACTTAAATTCGCTACGCAGTCCTGACAGCTCGGCATACATGTGGTACATCAACATAACGCGGCACAGAAGCTGCTCAGCACCTTCACCCTTTGCAGAAGGAGCTTGATTTAATTTTATTAGTACCTCTGGCCTTGTCTGCCTCTGGAGTTACACTGAGGACATACAATTCGGGTAGCTGCCCATTAAAATATTTACATGCAATTGTGTTAACAAAGTTTTTTCAACTTCCCTGTCTGCCTCTTCTTATGCAGCAGACACCAAAGAGTTCAGGTCTGGAGCCAGCACTTGGCTACTTTTGGTTTAGATGAGGTTGTTCAATGAGATATAAGCAAAACATAAGCCTACGTTAAACCACTTAACAACCCTCCTAGGAAAAGGCTGCTGGGACAGACTTTTTTGAATGAGGAAAAAGGTTTAACCACGTTCATCCATTTTCAACAGGAGTAATCTTTCATAAGCATGCTTTGTGGCAGTTTCTCTTGTGACACATTTTATTCCAGTGTAACTCTGTTCTGTACAAGTTCAGGTTTTGTTTTGTCATCTTCTGGAAACAAAAAGCTAACTAATAATCTCAACCAGCTAAAAATTTTCTTAAAGAACACCGAGACACTGTGCTTATTAAATCTACTTGCAATACATCCATGAGCAGAGATGGAAACTAAAAACAAAACTAATACTGTTTTTCAGCTCTCTAAACAAAGCTTGTTCATTAGAGTCATCGTGCTATACTTCATCATTTCCCCGGCACAAAGCTTAGAGCCAAAGCGACTTGCTCCAGAAAGTTTCCAACATACCACTCCAATTAGGTTACAGGCCAGCTGTAACAGTTTCAATCAGACATTTCAAAGTTAAACTGTGCGAGACACTAAAATCCCAGGCTTTACTGTGTAAATGTTGATTTACCAGTAGGATATGAAAAGATTTGCGCTAATTATCAAGAGGAAACCTACCTACAGAATTCAAAATTAAACTTCTGAAACAAAACCACATGTAAGATTTCCAGGGTTTCCCGGTTCTTTTATCTTTTGAAAATTCTCATCTGCTAACCAACCAACACGCAAAGCATTTTTTTTCAGGGCCACTCAGACCACACCTGCTCAGCGCAGGGAAAAGAGGGGGGCCAACAGGCTGGAATGCGCTGGGTGAGGAGACAAGGATGGGTCGTGGGGGTCCAAATGATGACTCTCAAACCAGGAGTACCAAAGCTTGAGGCAGAAACTGAAGAGGGGTCACAACAACCGCTTTGGCAACTGCTGGTCTAACCTTTCCTGAGTCTGGAACTAAACTCTGTGTTCTCAAGTGTCAGCACTCCTCTAATCAGCAATTTTCTGTGGATCCCACCAATAATAATGTCTCAAAGCCTCCTTTTCCTGCTTCGGTCAGGACCCACATCCCAGTCCTGCAATGGACGAAGCAACATCGTTTATCAAACCACCCCATTCAAATCCCTGAGCACTCCCCAATCTGTCTATTGAATTAAAGCAATTACAATGCATACTAGAAATTAATTAAGCTGAATGGGCTACCTTAATTCTGCAGTTTCCTAATGGAGACGCTTACTACCTTAGCTGTCTTGTGGCTTGGGTTGCAATGGAACAGCATTTACATTACAGTAACATCCTGTGGTATTTGGCCTTCTTCAGGAGGAAGGCAGAATTCCTTTCCCCCCCCCACATCCAACCCATATAAAACACGATCAGTTAAGCCATGCCTAAACAGGGAACTTAAACTCCCCTCATCCTCTGAGCTTTCAAAGACAGCAGCCAGGTACTGTGGGCTGGGACTGCGAGGCCGTCACCAGCAACCACCTCTGGTTTGTCACCATTTGGCCACCGCAGGCTCGGCACACAACACACCCCGCTGACCTGTGCTGCTTCTTACCCCGGGTACCTTTTCCTTGTTAGGTTACAGGACTTTTACTTCGTCCTGACTCATTACCAGTATTGTGCACATGAGAGCTTGGACTGAAATTCCTAACTTGAGGTCAGCAGGTGATTCTGAGGGCAAAGTTAAAAGAAAAGTAACGGACATTTCAAGTGTAGGTTTTCTTGGCAGGTAAGGAAGCATAGAATCATAGAATGGTTTGGATGGGAAGGGACCCTTAGAGGTCACCCAGCCCCCCCCCCCTGCGGGAGCAGGGACCCCTTGACCCACATCAGGTTGCTCAGAGCTCCAGCCAAACTGGCCTGGAATGTTCCCAGGGATTGGGTCCTCACTAAGGACGACTACGGATATCCACTAAGGATAATCATCATCCTTATCCTTTTCGATTTCAATTCAAAGTCCCAGCTCAAAGGAAAAAAAAAAAAAAAAAGACTGAAAAAAAGCTGCAGAAACAGATCTTCGACACTCAGCCCAGCACGCTCCATGCCATTAAACTCCTGCCACCTTCCTCTTGTGAGAAAAAGCAGCCGCTAAGAAAATCCCCATACAAAGACTTCTACGGGAAAGCCTGCAGGACTGCTCAGACTAAGACAATGCTTTAGCAATGCATTAGTAGGAACTTCTAGGTGTAAACAACAGGTTTAGGCCAAGTAAATTAACTTCAGCTGCTCTGGCAGTTGAGAGTTTTCTGAATAGAATTAACATGAACAACCCTCACTGGGAAGGAAAAACCTGTCATTCTCACACTTTTATGTAATCAGACTATTTCCTGTTTAATAAAAAGGAAATCCCATCACGGGAGAGCAGGAAACATGCCCTGCAAGGTCATTCTTTTAAAACAACTTTAAACAGGATATTGCTACCAATGAGCTCTCCCAGGACAAAGGGGCCTGGTTCAAAATGAGGGTGAGACACTGTTGAGTTTTAAAAACCCGCACATCTAAAAAAGTCCCGGGTCCCAATACATGCAACCCATTCACAGGGATCAAGTAAAAAGGTCATTATAAGCCAAATCCATATTTTCACAAGGCAACATCATTCAAATATTTTAGGAACTGCCCCAAAACCAGTAAAATGAGATCTGCTGAAAAACCACCTCTCTCTGAAAACCACTGGTATTTGCACGGAATAGTCAGGACGCTCTTTCCAACATAAGAAATACATTCCTCAGCGCAAACCTTTTTGCCCCAATAGCTGGATGGGCAAACATAAAATACGCGGGGGAGCGAAGGTCCCAGCTGAGCGGGCTGCAGAAGAGGGATGTAAGGGTTTGCATTTCTGCCGTAACGAGGTCTGAATTATTTTTTAAGTTTCAGAACAAACAGGTTAGCATAAAGCTAACATACACCAAAAAGCCAAGGCAGAGAACAGCAACTATACCTTCATTTTACAACATAACATGACAAAAAAAAAAAAATGTTATTCAATTGCTCAGTTAGGCCGAACATTTTCCAATACAACAATTCTATAAAATAAAGAGTACAGGTTGGTTTTTTTAAAGGACCACTTGGTAGCTTCTATAACCTCGACACCTAAACTTTTGTTCATTCATTTTTTATTACATAAAAACATTCATTTGAATACATACTAAAGAAGATATTTTAATCTAGAGAGTCATAAAAATATACCAAAAAAATGACTTAACTATTTTATTTTTTTAAATCAGGCCAAAAACCAAAGGAAGGTTGACATTTCCATTTTATTCCTGCCAGGTAGCTGGGTTTAAGATGGCTACTGAGACTCTTGGCCTGCCAGGGCTTTTCGGGGGAGATTTTGCAGCCAAGTCTTTTTGGAAAAGCATTTGCAGGTATCACGTCACATGGCCAAGTTCTGTTTTCCAGGATTTGAAAGACAATTATGTCATTTCAAAGCAGGGAAATGAGCAATACAAACCTCTTTGGCAATGCCCAAGGCAGCCCTGAAGCAGCTCTCACACACAATCAATGAAATAAGAGAAAGGTTAGAAAAATAAGCAAAGTTTGAAGTCTACAGCAGGGGTTCCTAAACAGTGCTAGATTGTAACCCTTATGGTAAGCAACCTTCAAAGCAGCATGCAATCAAACAAATAAATACAAAACCCCCCAAATAAATCTAGAGCAGCCTACCAACTTTCCCCTGGAGGAGACAGGAAACGTGCTGACATCTAAGGCTGCCTGGACCGCGCACACGGAGCTGGGAGCTCCATGGGAAAAGGGGAAAAGAGTTTGTCACCAGGATAAATCTGGGAGTCCCTGATACACAATGCTGACCTTAAAACAACTTAATTACAGACAAATCTGTTGTATTCACATCAGGGTTGGGGGAGTTTTTTCCTCCCCCCCCCCCAAATAATGGTGCTCTGCAAAGCAAAAACTAGGCAATAAGACAGAATTAACTCTCCGTTAACAGAGATTGAAGGATTCTCAGGTTCTTTCATGCCACGGTGGATTTAAACACCATCCACCACCACCCATAAATAAAACAAGAGTAGCTACACCGTAAGGAACGTGATTCCTAGAAAGAGGCTCCAGAGAAGCATTACAGCAAAGACGAAAAGGGCTACAGCATCATTCAAAGCTAGGCTATACCGGTATTAGAAAATGAGCTGTGAACTTCCCAGGCGTCCAAGAAAAGACACAGTCCTACCCACACACACCAGCCTAAGCACAATCAAGCTGGCAGACTTAGTAAGAAACAGCAGACAAGATGTTAAAGATGCAGCGTTTGGCCCAGCCAGTGTTCGGCTGCCAGAAGCCAATCTATAGCTCCTGGCTGCTGAAACA